TTTTTTTTTTTTTTTTGCCTTTTGATGATTCATACTGTTTCCTCTTCTTTCCTTTTCTCTTGGAAGAAGGGAAGTTTCTTAAACTCACTGCTTTCCAATCCTCTCATATTATTCTCTCTGTAATCTCCTCATATTGAACTATGTTCATTGCCTTTTCTGGATAGTGGAATCAAGGTGTATCCAACTAAGTTTGAACATATCTAGAACAAACGCTTTGGTCCTTTCTAGTATTTTCAGGCCTCTTGATGTAGGACAGTGTAAGAATATGCAGTATGGGATTAAAGTTGTCTTTTTAAGTAATGGAAGACGGAAAGAAGAATGGAGGATAGAGTAAGACCACCTTTTTAGGTTAAGTCAACCACCCCTTAGTTTAACTGTTAGGAATAAGAAGAGTTGAAGAGAGCGAGCGATTGTCTGATATATGTAAGTGCTTGTTGCATTGCTTTAGTAAGCAATAACATCACATCGCTCTATCATATTCTCCAGCATACCATGTCAAATGCTATTTGACTATTTGAGCAGATTACCTGGCTACTAATAAATCTGTTCTTTCAAAAAATTTGTTCCTTAGGTTAGCTGTAACATCAGTTTTTTTTTTATAAGATAAGCTAAAAGGTTAGCTGTAGCAAAACATTTTTGGATGTGATACAATTCCTTAGAAATTTCGGGACTTCGATTTTGCCTGATTAGAAAGAATCTTCGGGTTAGTTAGGAGGATGGTATGACCATTTGTTTACTTTTGTCTCACTGTTTTATGTTGCATTACCATTTGTTGGAAGGATGGACTCTGAAAATTTATTTGTTGCTTGTCGAAAAGAAACAGAGGAAATAAGATTTGCATGTTTGATGTTCAACTTTCCCTTTATGACATATTTACCTGATAATGGTGGTGTAACCATTTCCCATCAATTTATCTCATTTTTTATATACGTTTTTAACAGGTGCACCAATAGCAGGATCTGCAGTAGAACAGGTTGAACAGATTGTAGGTTATGTAAGTATTGGGTACCCTTTTGGTTTAATGGCCTCAATCCTCTTTGGTCGACATCACAAAAACATATTAAAATCACCCAAATCAAAGCTCTTCATCATGGGCACACAAGACGGATTCACCAGCATTAAGCAGCTAAACAACAAGCTTAGATGTGCAGCAGGACGTGTAGAGAAACATCTTATCGAAGGTATTGGCCACTTTGAGTTGGAAGGGCCTGCCTATGATTCTCACATGGTAAATCTTATTGTAGAATTCATTGACAGTTTATAGGGTTTCTACCTGGTGTTGCATGGGAAGTGTTAGGCATTGTCACAAAATGGTGCTTTCTGGCTAGTCTTCTGATGGCCTTCCACTGAGCGGATATGTGGATGTACGCTATGATGATCCAGAGAAACGTGTGGTTTCTGAACCCATTGAGATGACGGCCCATGTTAAATTTCCGACACCTGATTCTTACAAGAGATATGGAATTGAGGGCTCTTTTTGTGGTTTTGGTAAAGGGTGGCTACTGCTTCCATGATCCTAACTTGTGTATTTTAGTTGCATTATTTTTTTTTTTCCTATGCAGATTAGGACTTGTATTTTTGGTGTTTTCTTTCAATCATCTTGTATGAGCTATAATAGTGTGTGCATTTAGAACAGCCTGCACAGCTTGGCAAGAAAAGGAATATCTTTCTTTGTTCTTTCTTTTTCCTTTTTGTAGAAGAGAATGAGTATAGTTAATCTCAACTAGTTTGGGATTGAGGCGTAGTTGTTATTGCTTTAACTGTTTTTTTCTCAGAAAAATGATACTCCCTCTGTTTCAATTTATGCGAGCCTATTTTCTTTTTAGTCCGTGCAAAAAAGAATGACCCCAATTCTTATTTGGAAACAATTTACCTTATGCAACGATTTATACTCACACAAAATATCTGTGTCTTATTTTACATCACACGTTCAAAATGTATTCTCTTTTTTTGAACTCCGTGCCCAGTCAAATAGGTTCACATAAATTAAAACGGAGAAAGTATTTTATGTTTTTGCTTCCGGAGATATTTTGTAACTTGTTTAAAACTGAAACATAGTTATTATTATTGTTTTTTTTTATTTTTTTTAATAATCCTAATATAGGTATTACTATGTGAACTAATCTTAACTTTGACGTGAGTAATTTTATTCTGCGGAAACATTAGTGAGGAGACAAGACTAGAGAGAAAAAATTCTCGCTAATAGGATATAAGTCTCAAACAAAAAAGCCTAGAGCATGCTAGCGAAATAGTCACAAAATTACAGTGGTACAAAAGTAGTGGAAATTATTATTTTACCTAAAAGATAAATACTTAACTTGCTATAATAAGTTAACGTACACTAATATAAAAAAAAAATATTTATTCTGTGAACATATATTAGTTAAATCCTTTTATTTTTTATTAATTAACTCAGTGCTCTCACGTGCTTACCACTCGCTTGGGAGTAGTTTTTCTGGGGTTAAAAAAACAAAAATACTAATACATAAGTTGAAAATTAACATCACATTTATTTATGTATGGTCAAAAACATATAATCTAATTTTTCTATTCCTTTTTCCCTCACCCAAAAACCAATCTAATAAAACATTTCAGCCTCCTATTTACAGACTTCAGCAAACACAGAGCACACTCTCATGGCGTCCAATCCAATTCCTCCTCCATCATTCAGACCACCAAGAACCGACCCATTAACCCAAAAAAATCTCATCATACCCGGGTCCAAATCCATTGACCCGAATTCTTCACTGAATCTTGAGAAGCTAAAGGAGAAAGAAGCAAAAGAGAGAAAAGAAGAAACCAATAAAAAGATAGCTTCACAAAAAGCCATATCCATAATTCTACGTAGAGAAGCTACAAAAGCAGTTATTGAGTATAAGAAGAAAAAGGGGAATTCTAAGAAGCTTTTGCCACGTACTGTTCTTGAAGCTCTTCACGAACGTATTACTGCTTTGCGTTGGGAATCTGCTCTCAAGGTTCGTGTTTTTTTTTTTGTATAGTTATTTTGAGTTTTTATTCTGAATTTTGCAACCCAAGTTGGAATTTTTCTGGGAACTGATAATTGTAGTGCAAACTTTCGTCTGGACTGAGGAAGGTACAATCATAACTGTATATGGTACAATTGCTGAAGCACATGTTGAGTTTTTAATTTTGGAGCCAAAGTTGGAATTATTCTGCGAATTGATAATCATTGTGCGTTTTTTGTTTGAGTGGTGCAATGTTTTGTTTGGACTGAGGAAGGTACTATTATAACTGGCTATTGTACAACACATTGGAAGCACTTGTTGATTTTTCTTATATCCTAATCTTGGAATCCAAGTTGGAATTTTTCTGGGAATTGATAATTATGGTGCATTTTTTTTGTCTGGACTGAGGGGTACTATTATAACTGCATATTGTACAACACATTTGATGCACGTATTGAGTTTTTACTTTTTAATGCTCTTTTTGTTTCTTCACTTTGGAAGCCAAGTTGGATATTTTTTACTGGGAACTGATTATGATGGTGCAGTTTTGTTTGGACTGAGAAATGTAGAATCATAAGTTTGTAACGTTTTCCTTTGTTCAAGTTGATTCATGCTGCATTGCTAGGAGAGTGGTTTCTACGAACCAAATGCCATTGCTGAGCATATGAAAGATGATTTCTGTTTACTGATTTTTTATGTTCATGTGTTACCAGACCCCACTTGTGGGAACTCACTGGGTTGTTATTGTATGTTTATGTGTTAGAGGAAACATTTGGTTATGTTTTGGCGGTGATTAAATTCTGTAGAGGTGCCCAAAGCATTATCATGATTCCCTTTTGGGCTTTCAGGTCTTTGAACTCCTCCAGGAGCAGCTGTGGTACAGGCCCAACGCGGGTATTTATATCAAATTAATCGTCATGCTTGGGAAATGTAAGCAACCCGAAAAAGCTCAATCCCTATTTGAGATGATGGTGGAAGAAGGCTGTGTCGTGAATCAAGAAGCTTACACTGCTCTTTTGTCTGCCTATAGCCGCAGTGGTCTTTTTCACAAAGCTTTTTCTATCCTAGAAGAGATGAAGAACACTCCAAACTGCCAACCCGATGTCTTCACATATACCATCCTGATGAAGTCCTGCCTTCAGGTTTATGACTTCGATAAAGTGCAAATCCTGCTTTCGGACATGGATTTTATGGGAATTAAACCCAATACAGTAACATATAATACACTCATTGATTCCTATGGCAAAGCAAAAAGGTTTGGTTACTTTTCAGCGTTATAGTTCTATTTCTGATTTTCCACCTTAGCTGACAAGAAAGTTTTAATTATGCACAACTGGAACTTGAGTTTTCTACCTAGTTGTGAAATGAGCTCCACGACGCTATCTAACTTTTGGCTTTGTGCTATCTTTGCTTACTAAAATGTTTTATACTGTTGATATCATTTTCTCAGACACAAGTGTGGGCATTAGTTTGTATTGATAGGGAAATTGATTCGGTTATTCTTTTAATTGCCAAAGGTTCAAAGAGATGGAATCCACACTTGTTGAAATGCTGCGGCGAAGAGACTGCAAGCCAGATGTGTGGACCATGAACTCAACATTGAGAGCATTTGGTGGCAGTGGGCAAATAGAAATGATGGAAAAATGCTACGAGAAGTTTCAGAGTGCTGGAATTGAACCAAGCATTAAGACATTTAACATACTCTTAGATTCATATGGGAAAACAGAAAATTATGAGAAAATGAGTGCTGTAATGGAGTTTATGCAGAAATACCATTTTTCATGGACGATAGTTACCTATAATATCGTAATAGATGCATTTGGAAGGGCTGGGGATTTAAAGCAGATGGAATTTCTTTTTAGGCTGATGCAGTCTGAGAGGATAAAACCAAACTGTGTTACTCTTTGTTCACTTGTAAGAGCATATGGGAAGGCTGGTAAAGCTGAAAAAGTCGGAGCTATTTTGCGATTCATTGAGAATTCTGACGTGGCGCTTGACACAGTGTTTTTTAACTGCCTAGTGGATGCGTATGGGATGATGGGATGCTTTGTGGAGATGAAAGGGGTACTTGAGATGATGGAAAGAAGCGGATGTAAGCCCGATAAGATAACGTACAGAAGTATGATTAAAGCCTATTCAGTAAATGGAATGAGTAGCAAAGCGACGGAGATGCGAAACCTACTTGCCTCATTGGAAAAGGCGCGATAGCTTCTTAGTTCAAAGGGCTAGGAATTCCAATGGACAAGAAGGTGTTTTTACGATCACATGCCTTTGGTACGATAACTTCTGAGATGCCGTTGTTGTGGCTTCAGATAGAGGTGCAAGAGTTCTCAGTCGCCTCAGTGTTGAACTGAATACTGTCAGCTAAGGAAAAGGATTGTCACTAAACAGCTTAATTTGCCAATGAACACAATCAGGTAAATTATTCAAAGTGCCTTGAAGATATACAACCAGGTCTGGTGTACCCTCTCTTTTGCCCTTTCAATCCCATAGGATTCAGTGCCTAAAATCTTGTTTTTTCCTGCATAAAATTTATCCCACACCATCATAGATTGTCCAATATAAGACACTGTAGTATGGTTGTTGTTAGATCTGTATGTAAATCGTCTAATGGTAATTTTTCCCATTGATCTTTTACCTGGAAATTTGTACTGACAAATAGGGGAGACGGACAAAATACCTTTTTCGACTTATATATGGATTCCCATGAACTCATTTTGATTTGCAGTTATTTGTCCATCAGCTTTGGTATTTATGCTGAGGTAAATCATGGTTCCATTGCTCTGCTCATTATTTGTGTTAGTTTTTGTGAAAATCTACCCGTGCGTTGTTCTTGGTCTATGGAAAGCATTTTGATTCATTTTCTGGAAACCAAAGAGCTTTAATAAACGAGCCCTATTGCTCCCATTTTATCAGTTTGTTGTTGCCATGTTAAGTGCAAAAGTTGGTTTTCCATACTATGAGAGAACCTGTACTACTTTTTTTAGCATTTGACCTCTGTGTTTTGATGTCTCTGAAATGTGTATTTAATGATCTTGTCAGCTGGAACTGGACTGTGGTTGAGAGGAGCAGTCAATGCAGCTTAGACCACCAACACAGAATCAGTTTTCCAAGGCCAAGATTATGCTAACTTAGGCTTCCATCCGTCTCTTGAGGCTCAATTGAAGCAGCAGTCAAACAATTGTCTTTCTCAAATGTGCCTAAGAAATATTCACTATGACAAACAACAACAAACCGAGTGAGGTAAGGTAGTGCTTACGCAGACCTTACTGTCATCGTGTGAAGGCGGAGAAATTGTTTCTGATAGACGCTGAATTAGGAAAAGCATAGTCACAACATTGTTGAACTATTCACTATGGCAAAATCATAGTTATATCTTTGAATGATTACATATCTAATTGGAAGGGAGCCTTGGCGTAACTGGTAAAGTTGCTGCCATGTGACCAGGGGTCACGGTTTCTAGCTGTGGAAATAACCTCTTGCATTGCAGAAATGCAGGGTAAAGTTGCGTACAATAGACCCTTGTGGTCCAGTCCTTTCCCCCGGACTCCGTGCATAGCGGGAGCTTAATTCACCGTGCTACCCTTTTATTACATATCTAATTGGACCATGATTTTGTCTTTGCTATTAACTTTCTTTGTTTTAAGAAAATTGTAAATGGCTTGGTGGTTGTTTTCAGCACGTATCTAGTCAATTCTAATCACTAATCCCTTGGAATATTCGTCATTAAAATCAAAATTATGTCAAACTAGGTAATGTAAAATGGGAAGAATTTTCAAACAGTAGCATCAATGGATTACCTGATGGGTACATTTACATATATAAAAATTATTAAAATTGTCCTAGCATTCCATCTCATTAAACAATGACAAGATGTCAAAGTTCCAAACAAAGAAAGAGAAAAAGATACAATGACTGTATAAAACCAAATTCTCACGAAACATAAAAGAGAAAATTGCAATTTTGGCTCCCTACCTATAGATAATCTCTAAATTTGGTCTTCATCTTATCGATTGAGCACACAACACATTTCCTTTTTGTAATTTCTTGAATTTAATCATTGACACCAACGTCTGAGTTAGTAACATCCTAATTAGCGGTATTATTACTTTTAGTCCGCATTAGAAACTAATTATATTTGGTAGCCGAAAAGTGTATAAAATTTGTATAATTTTTGTATATAATATACAAAATGTATATATATATAAATAATATACAAATTTATATATTTTTTCGACTATCATTTTTACAGTGGCTATACAATGTCATTTTTCCTCCTAATTATGCATCACTTTTGCTATTAAGTTTTAACAAACAAACGTGTAAGGAGATTTAGAGTTGGACATAAGAATTGTAAGAGAATGAAGTAGTTTTTCACATGCACATGTACCATTTCATCAAATCAATGCATAATATTAAAAAGGGAAAAAAAGCTTATATGCTCAAATAGATTAAGGAGGTCCTTAATTAGACAACCTAATCATTAAGAGGCAACAATACTAATCGTATTGTCAATGGTTTATCTCAAAGTTTAAGAGTTTTATTTCTTTCTTCAAGCATTCGCCATTCAGAACCCTCTAATTCGACTAATTTGAATTTGTACCATCGATAACTAGCTATCGACCTTTTATGATTCCCTATTAACCCTATAAATATATATAAATATATATAACCTTAGGTAGAAAGAGACAAAGTGGATTTTAACAAACTGAGGGACCAAAGTATCAATACTTTCACATAAAAAGAGTCATAGTTCTGGTTTGTCAAACAATACCTTACATTCTTAATTAAATGTTTCCAATTTGAGCTTTGGGTGTAGAGTCGCATTTGGAAGGAAGCTTATTTTTGACCTCCAAAATATAATTTTTTAGCGCGAGTCGAATTTGTTAAGTTTCAAAGCGAATACAAGTATGAGTTATAAACCAAAAAAAAAAAGAAAAAAAGAATTAACTTAAACATCCACTCACGTAACTACTTAAACTAAAAATGGTTGGCAGACATATAATATATGTATCATTTATGAATAGTATGTCAAACCTCTCAATTACAACCTCGTTTGCTATGATATTTTTTTGCTTATATAATGAACAGGGGCGGATCCAACCTATTACATGTGGGTTCCCGGGAACCCAGTAGCTTTTGTATATACCCTGTATATATATTACAAAATTCGCTAAATATCCATAAATATTTGATTGTGAACCCATTTACTTATTGTATATTTATTTAAGGTCGCTATAGGAATCCATAAACTTTAAATCCTGGATCCGCCTCTGATAATGAAGTGATGTTACTGAGAACATCTATTATAACATAATATGAAAAATTAGTTTCAGAAAAATATGGTTGCTATATTGAAATCCTAATATAGAAAATGACTGTTATAATAAAGAGAATTTTGTATAATAATGTATACTGAATAGGAGAATTAAACTGGAATTCAACTGTTATTTGTGTAGAGATGCAACCAAAAAAAAAGTAATACGTACTACTACTACTACTATTTCAATTATGTCCCCTTTTTAAGATTAAAACACAGACAAGTATGCAAATGCTTTCTCGCATTTCAGCTTCATCCACCGCTCTCTTCCACCTCCGTTCTTCTCTTCTCCGACCCAGATTTTCTTTTCACCCAAACAACCCCTTTTCACTCCCAATTCAACCCCATCACCGCCGTCTATTATTTTCTTCATCTATGGACTCAGCTACTGCTTCCACCGTTGATTCAGTTGCTGACAATTTCAAGAAACAAAGTTTAGAAAATAATGATAGCAGCAATAGCAAACGTTTGTTGAAACTAGAAGAGCTTAATTGGGATCATTCTTTTGTTCGTGAACTTCCTGCTGATCTAAGAACCGATACCATCCCAAGAGAGGTCTTTTCTATTTTTGTGAAATCTTGATTGTTTTTTTTTTTTTTAATTGAAGCTGTGATCTTTATTGAATTGTTGATTTGATTTGAAACTGGAAAGTTCCCTTATGTATTAGAACTAATTGTAATTTCGTTAACTTTTTATTGGCAATTGTTGAAAATGATTACAATTGAGAGAGTTAATAAGAGGGTGTTTGGCACCCAAGGGTGTGACCAGTGGTCAGCAAAGGTGTGACCCAGTGGTCAGTCAAGTGGCTTACAACCATGAGACCTAGGTTAGAACCATGATGTCTCAGGTTCAACTCCCAGAGACAAAAAACACTAGGGGATTCTTTCAATCTTTTTTCCGAGGCTTGGTGGATAGAGTTATCTGGTACCTCATGCTGGTGGGAGTTATTAGGTATCCCGTAGAATTAGTCAAGGTGTCCACAAGCCGGCCGGACACCATGGTTATTAAAAGAAAATTAAGAGGGTCTTTGGCTAAGCTTAGTTGGTCAAGCATTTTTTTTACCGCAACATCACCTTTCTAGTTTCAACACTTTTATCTGAACACGTAACTGCTTATTTGTAAAACCATCACTTAAAAATGTTTTTAATCACTTGAAGTTTATCAGCTATTTACAATCATGTCACCCGAGCGGCCTTTGAATATACTCGTGGATTATTAGCTATATGAGGAAGGTTCATCTTTTGCTAGTTTATGAGAGTTTCTTTGGCAGCATAACAAGAAAGTTGAAATATTGATGTTGGATATGTAATAAGTGCTGCATTCCCTTTCAATTATAATCTGAAGAAAATTTATTTTATTGCAAGTTATTCATGTTTGTAAAATTTGTGCTTGAAAATTGTCTTGATAGAAATTTCGTTGAAGTTTTATTCAATTGAGGTTCAGACACTAGGTGAACTTCTGTGAGTTTTCATTTGGCAATATTGAAATGGTTCACAAGTTTGATATTTTATAGACTTGTTTCATGGGTAGTAGCCGGATGAGGAAGATTAAAATCTCTACTCGTAGTGTGTCTGCATAGCAAGAAATTTGAAATCCTGATGTTTCATATGTATTAAGTGCTGCAGTCCCCTATGAATTTTTCTATGATGTAATATGATGTTGATTTTGTTGCATAGGATGGAAATTGTGTTGCAAGTTAGTTAGCCGAGTCAAATATTGTGCTTATGTAGGTATTGCATGCTTGCTATACAAAAGTGTTGCCTTCTGTAGAGGTGGAGAATCCCCAGCTCGTTGTGTGGTCAGAATCAGTAGCAGAGTTACTTGAGTTGGATCCTAAAGAGTGAGGTTTTAATGCTTGCTGAAGATTGTCCTTTCTAATTGTGTTGTGACGGAAGTGACACTGAATTCTTTTTAACCTTTCAGATTTGAGAGGCCTGGTTTTCCACTTCTGTTCTCAGGGGCATCACCTTTAGTGGGAGCGTAAGTGTCGCTTCTCTAGTTTGGATCTGCTTAAACTTTTTAAGTCTTATAACATGTTATGTTATATTTGCTTGTTCAGTGTGCCTTATGCCCAGAACTATGGAGGACATCAGTTTGGGACGTGGGCCGGTCAGCTAGGTGATGGTCGAGCAATAACTCTTGGAGAGGTTTTGAATTCAAAATCCGAAAGGTGGGAGCTGCAGCTAAAGGGTGCTGGGAAGACCCCATATAGCCGTTTTGCTGATGGTCTCGCAGTGCTTCGGAGTAGTATTCGGGAATTCCTCTGCAGTGAAGCAATGCACAGCCTTGGAATCCCAACTACAAGAGCACTCTGTCTTGTAACGACAGGAAAAGATGTCACTAGGGACATGTTTTATGAGTATGTTAGTTACTCTTACAGTTTTGGTGCCATTTAATCTGCCAGGATACATTGAGACTTTTGTTGCATTCTCTCTCTCTCTCTCTCTCTCTGTATATATATAGTTAAATTCACAGTATGTCTATCATTTTTGTTTTAAAATATTTTTGAGTCCAAGACTCTTTCGAAGAATGATATAAACACAGTTTTTACATTAAAATTGATGAGAACCACTTGTGAACTTTTTTCACTGAAGACTTGGAGTCTGAAAAGGGATCCATGTTATAGGATTATGCTCGGGATAGTTGGTCTTTTTGGTCCATTCAAGTGTGTTTTTGTTTCCGCTGTTGATGACTCCGTTTTTCCTCATGCAGTGGGAACCCGAAGGATGAGCCTGGTGCAATTGTCTGTAGAGTTGCTCAATCCTTCCTGCGTTTTGGTTCTTACCAACTACATGCCTCTAGGGGTAAAAAGGATCTTGAGATTGTGCGTACTTTAGCAGACTATGCCATTAGATATCACTTCCCCCATCTAGAGAACATGAGCAAGAGTGAAAGCATATCATTCAGCACAGGCGAAGAAGATGATTCGGCTGTGGATTTAACTTCAAACAAATATGCAGGTAAATATGTTGATCGTGTTGAAGTGGATATTGGGGTGGATTGTATCTGTCTTTGCTATATTTGATCTCCTTTTTAATACTGGATTGAGTGTGGTCGAAGAGTGTTCGT